TGGCACCACGGGAGGGCAGAGCGGGCACTGGGACTCTGTGGCCGAGGAGGCGGGTTAGGGTGGGCTGGTCCATGCACACCTTTCTGGCAGACGGGTCCCCCTGCAGCCAGAAGCCATACCTGCCCCACTGCCGGCCACCTGGGATCCGGGGCCTCCCAGGCCCAGGGGGTACCGGCGTTGCTGCTGTCCTGCCGGTGCTTGTCAGGCAGGACCCCTCCTGAGACCCTGACTGGCGGCATTACATCCCCCCTCCACCGCCCCCCACATCTGCAGAGCGACTCATTCTGTGACTATGCCACCTTCGCTGGGGTTTCGGCTCTTTGTACCCCAGACGGTAATTGTGTTCCTACTTCATCAGTGGGAGAACGTAGCTCGAGAGAGAGCATGCAGGGATTAGACTCTGCTGGGCAGTTCGGCGCCCCCAACACCCCAGCACCCAGCAGACCCCCTGGAGCCAGCCTGGCGCTGCCCTCAGCACGGGGCTTCAAACGCCTCCCTGTGTCCGTGCCTCGGTCTCCCCCTCTGCACGGCCAAGACAGCAGCACCAAGTGTCCCCCCTGGCCGGCCGGGGTGCCGTGCTCCGGCTGTTACTGTCAGTATTTGGGTCCCTGTCTGGCTCGGGCTCCCCTGGCAGGTCCCGGAGGGTGCAGGGGAGTGGCCGTGGTGGCCGTGGGGCCTCTCTCCCAGGTCTGAGATGCGGAAGGCCCCTTGCTCGGCCCGGCTGTCGGGGCCCCTCCGGCGGCAGTCAGCCTGGTGGTGTGGTGGGACGGGTGCCGGTGCAGGCCAGGCGCCCGGGGCTGTCAGCAGCCCCGGCTCCGACACCCGGGCCTCGTCCAGCTGGAGTGTCTCAGCCTCGCTCTGCAGATACGCGCCTGCTGAGGGGCAGCGACACCCGTGACGGGGCGCCAGACCCGGGGCCAGGCCCGGCCAGCAGACGCGCGCGCGGCTGGCGGCTCTTCTGGGGCCCCGGCCTGACGTCAGTCCATAGTTAACTCCGAACAGCCCCTAAGAGCGACATGGCCTCCTGCGGCCCCACCCTCCTGCCACCCCTCTGCTGTGGCTGTGCTCACCCCCAGGATGCCCTTCCCTCTGCCTCTGCAGAGCCTATCCTGCCAGCGGGGCCCAGAGCGTGTCTCCTCCTCCTCCTCCTCCTCCTCCTCCTCCTCCTCCAGGAAGCCTTCCTGCACTTCTCTAACCTCGAAATGCCAGTGCTGGGATGCCCACTCCTCCATTTAGTACAGTTGGGTGGGAACGGAGAGGCCGAGGACAGTGTGGGGCCAGGCGGGACCCGTCCATGACCTCACACAGTGAGTCAGCAAACGGCAGCCAGAGGCCTGTTTCTCCGATTCTCACACCTGCCGTCCTAGCCGGACTGTCGCCTTTCAGACCTCCTTCCTGTGCCTGGGGACTCTGCCCCACCGGCCACCACGGTGATGAGCCTGAGGGGCCCTCGTCCTGCCCAAGACTGGGGGTGGGGGGGGGGGGCAAGCGAGGAAAGTCCTGCCATACACTTGCTGGTCGCCCTGGGTCAGAGGCCTCTCTCGGGCCTCAGTTTCCTTGTCATTGTATTCTGGGCGTGATGTCACTGCCCAGGGTGGGAGAGGTAGAGCCGCACACACGTGGACGCATGCTTTCCTGGGGGCCCGGAGGACGCCGGGCCGGCCCAGTGGCCGCTCCCTGGACACTTGCGTCCTGAGCAGGGCCGTGCTGAGTGCCCAAGAGGCCAACGGGGGATTCCAGTGGGGGGCAGGGCTCCACACAGGTGGCACCACACCGAGACGCCCACCGGGGGCTTCCTGGGAGGATGGACTGGCCGGGCTGGCAGAGGAGGGGGCGGCTGTGGGAGGAGGGACAGCAAAGCAAAAGCTGGAGGCAGAGAGGTGCCGGCAGGCCCAGTGACAGGCTGGAGGAGGCCTCTGACACGCGGTCCCTCCTCGGCTCTCCCTGAAGTCTTCGCCGCCCCTGCCAGCCCGGACGGTTTGGCCAGGATCGCGCCGAATTGTTAATCTGCCCCCTGGGACCGTAAACGGTTTTAAAGCTTTATAAACGGCTTTACTTCCCTGTCCCCACCCTGGAGTTTTCCAGGGACAGGCTGAGGGACGGCCGGTCTGTGCACCCCCACCTCCACTCCCAGTCTGTGGAGAGCGCCATCCCCCTCCGGCGGCCACAGCAGGCGGGCGTGGGGAGCCGGCTGCTTTACAAGCCCCGGGCGTCTCCTGCCGGGGGTGGGGGGGGGGTGGGGGGGGTGGGCGCAGGAAACACGTGGCCTCAGAGCCAGACGCCAGCCCTCCACCTGCCTCCCCCCCACGGAGCCCCCTCCCCCGGCACAAGACCCCGCGTGCCTGCCATGTGGACGGCGCGTCCTGCGCTTGGCTTCAGACGCTTCCACTTCCCTGCTGCCCCCGAGCCCCGCGCGGCACAGGGCACTGGGCTGTGCCAAAGGAAGGCCTCTGTCCGCCGCGTTCACCTGAGGTGCCCGGCGCTCCTGGGGGCGCCAAGGAGAAGCCAAGCCCTGCGTCCTTGCACGCCAGCCGGGCCTCTGGCTCGTCTCGACCGGTGACTTCCAAACCCGCCGGGCACCAGGATGCAGGGGCGGCTGGCAAGCGCGGCCTCGGCGGATCGGCTCGGGGGCCCTGGAATCCGCTCGTTTAGTAAGCAGCCCTCGCGACCGAGCGTTGATGGTGCCGCTCACTTCCGGATGGGGAGACTGAGGCTGGGGGAGCCGGGCGTAGGCTCCTGCCGCCCCACAGGCCTTTCCCCATCCCGCCGTCTCGGCAAGGGCTTACGGAGAGCCGGCACGCCTTTTCCTCCACAAGCACATCTGTCTGGTTACAAAAGCGCTCCTGCTACCTGGAAGCCCGAGGGCCCCGTGGTCCGCGAGTGAGAGCGTCCGCGCAGTTCCTGTCTAGACCTCCTCCACATTTGTTCCTAATTTCACGCTCCGCGGGCTCCCAGATTCCTGTGTTTGGTAATAAATAGACGGGGAAGTGCTCGGCAGCACTGCAGCTGGTCTCAGAGATACTCTCCAGAGCCCGGCTGGGCTGGGCTGGGCTGGGCTGGGCTGGCGGCCTGGACGGGCAGTTCTTGGCGGCGCCTGGAGATCTCCTCTCCAAGCTCCTCAGAAATGCAGGCCCACCTGGTGCGGGGCCCCCGTGAGCCAGACCCGCGCCCACCGGCAGGGCAGGCCGGGGCCGGAGCGCGCCCGTGGCAGGGGGGCCTGGTGTTCAGGAAGCCGGGGATGCCCTGGGCTGGCCTGCTTCGCGGCCTGGGCTCCGTGAGGGACCGCGGGGACGAGCGCAAGGCCCGCGCTATTTTGCCGGCTCTCTCGGGGGCTCATAGACTTGTAGCAGTTCTCCCCAGACCCCCGCCGAAGACCCCCACCCCGTCCCCACCGCCTGGGGCCAGCGCTGTGAGAGCAGGTGGTTCCCCGCTCTGTTCCCACCGCCCAGCCCAGCCCAGCCCGATGCTCACAACAGACACTCGATTCTCACAGGGACGGTGAGCTCTTGAAGAATGAATTGAAATTTCCAGGATGGACCCAGCAGAGCCAGGAGCGCCCTTGAGAAGGGGGGCGGTGTGTCCCTCTCATTTCACCCCACGGCTCCCCCCGGGTGGCTGCCCCACCCGCACTCCCCAGGCCGTGGGGGATGCAGGGAGCAGACGCATTTCTTGGCGAGATCCCCCCACCCACACAGCCTAGGGGTAAACCGAGGCCGGAAGAGAAAAACAACACACCGAGCCCGCAGAAAAGTTCATCAGACGGACACCTTGTCTTTGTGCCCCCTCCCGGCTGCAGAGCCGAGGCCGTGGACTACAGGGAGAGGATTCAGGGCAGACCCTGGGCCCTTGGGGGGCTGGGGGGCCTGGGCCACGCCAAGAAAACTGGAGGGAGCTGCCTCGCCCGACCTGGACTGGCCAGGGGGCTCGGCATCCCCACTGCCCGGGGAAAGAGGGCACCCCCAGCTGGGTGGCCTTCCGGCCCCCTCGGGCACGGTCCCCAGGCGCTTGCTGTCCCCTGCCTCAGGCACCTCTGGGAAGGCAGAGAGCCACGGGAGGTAGCCCTTCCTTCTCTCTGCCACAGAGCCATGCCAGGGTCACCTGGGGTCTCCCCGGCCCTTCGGGGGCAGTCGGCAGCACATCGGGCCAGGCCAGGGGGCACCTACAAGGCAGGCTACCACACTGTCATTCTTGCGGTTGGTCCTGGAGGCCCCGCCTCGGCACACCGTCCTGCTTCCAGAGGAGTGGCCAGTCGGGGTGCGCTGAGGCATGCGGTCAAATGAGGCTGGATCCCCCGGCTCCGTGGGGACCGGGCTTGGTGGTGTGGAGGGCTGGGAGCGTGTGGCCGTGCCCTGTCTGTGCAGATGGGTGGCTGTGCCCTCCAGACAAGGAGACCTACCCAGGGTGACCCTGGATGCCTGCCACAGAATGAGGGCTGAGCACAGGCCAGCGACCCTGACCTGCCCCCTCGGGCCCCAAGGTGGTGGGGGCGGTGGGGGATGGGAGGAGGCGAGGCACCCCGTGTCTGATGTTGTTGAGCTCAGCAGTGTCTGGCCCTGGGGCCCCAGCAGCCCCCAGACCTCTCCTGTCTGACGTCCTGTGATCTGTCTGAAAGATGTACGTGTGTCTGTGAGGACAGTTCACACCCGTGCGACTCCAACGCGGCAGAGAAATCCGCCCTTTAGCAAAGAGGCCGCCCAGAGGTTCCTACCCTGCCCTCCCGCCCGTGCCGCCCCACTGGGGCTCCTGAACCTAAGTCTGGACAGGTCACTGCCTCCCTCAAACACCCCGGGTGGCTCCCCGGTACCTCACATTAGTAATAAGCACACTGTCCCGTCCTGAGCACCCCCTGTGCCTGGCAGGGAGTGACAGTCTCCACCAACATCTCTAATCCCCCATTTTACAGACAAGGAAACGGAGCCAGAGAGCTGCACAGGAGGTCACATGGTCCGGGGTGAGGGAGCTGAGGGTGAACTTGGGTGTGCCACCCCAAAGCTGGTGTCTTGTCTTTCCCCCTTCTCCTGGGTCCCCCCTACACGGCTTGCCTAAAGAAGGGGGGCAGGGACAGGGGTGCTCTCTCCTCCTTGACCACTGGACTGACGGACGATAAGCCCCATGAAGGCAGGAAGCCGGTTCACCACGTTTTGTGGCCCTCCTGTCGCTAGGGGTCAGCATAGTGCAAGGACACAGAAGGAGCTCTCAAAAGGGCGGGGGAGGGGATCTG